AGGGATCAGTGATGTGGAATCCAGGTAATGCGCCGGAAAAGATGCAGGCTCAGGCAGATGTAAAGGTGAGGGACAACTTTGAGTTGTCATCGCTGGATTTGCAAACAGGCAGGTGAGCACAGTTCTGCTTTAAAAAAAAAATGGTCACATTTAACTGGACTTGTTATATAATTTTGAAGACTTCTCACCGCTCATTCAAGTTGCTTCCCAAGTTCTGAGTTTCAAGAACATACGCCAGCATTTATAGTCACACGGATGGCTATAACATGTGTTTTTGTTGCAGCCTTTATGAAATGGCAGACCCCTTTGACTTCATCCATGGCATTTCCATTTTCCTGCAGCCTTTTCATGATAACTAGAATTAAAAGAAATAAAATGTTAGCATTTGCCAAGTAGATTGATTTTGCACAGTAATATGCATATTCAAGTCTTTCATGACCAGGGGTAATTTTTGATGGTTTAAATTAGCTGCAGATATTTTTCCGTTCTGGAAACTCTCTTTTTTTTTTTTTCCTTGTAGTTTTGCTTCTGTAGCGTAATTAAGTATTTTATTCTGAAAATGTGCATGTTTGGTAGAAAAAATACATTTGTCCCTCATCTTTAACTGTCAGCACCATGTTGACAAATTCAAATCTTCCCTTTCTTGATGGCCACTCCCATATCTCACCGTGTTGTAGATAGGTAAATCTGAATAAGTGAAAACAGTGCTTATTCCAGTCCAGGTGCACTGTGCTATCAGGCAGCAGGATGGAGCGGACATGAAGACTGGAGAATTGTTTTCTGCTTTGTTTTGCCAACAATAAGTGAAATTCTCAGAGAATTTCAGATGTTTTCCTCTTATCTTTCCCCAATGTCATAATAACACAAATTATTTGTGGGCCCCACATCCTTGAAACATTCAAGGACAGTTTGTGATGTACAGAAAAATGCTGACTTCAAGGCTGAAACTGATTGGAGTGCATGCTTCTGTTATCCTTCTTTAGTCAACTGCATTTTTCTAGGGCCCTCAACTCGACTAAAGTCTGTATCCTTCTCTAAAAGTCGTTGTGAACTGCTACCCTGTCATGGGGCTTCAACAATTTTTAATCTAGCTTTGAAAAGAGTAGGGGATGGATGAGACCCTTGTTAGGTGTTTGTAGTATCCTGTTGGGGAGATTACCCTTTAACTTTCTATCCAAAAAAAAGTTTGGGTTTCATACAAGTACCCCTTTACTGTTATGACTGGTGGACTGGTAAACTCTATTTTTTGTATAAATGCTCTCTAAATAATTCCTTATGTTTTGGAAAAACTTTAATGCTGTTTCAGATCTGAGTTATATTGAATTTTGCACTTGTTTGGGGTATCATTTTTATAGAGATTTTTTGCATGCATTTTTTTTTTTTTATTCTATGGTCAGGACTATAAAAATGTAAAATAAGTATTTTTAACCAGACTGAAGCTTTAATATGCTATGAATTCCTCCCTACCACCCGACCTCTTTCTCCCAGCTACATCAATTTTATTTATTTTAGATGGAATAAGTATGTCCACAAATAGACACGTGACGTGGATGCCTACTGTGTTCTAATGTTAATCTCGGCAAACATGCTCGTGTACACAAAATATCTTATTTGCACGCAATACCTAAATCCCAGAGATGTGGAATGTGTTGCACAGCTATTTTGCAGCAACATATCAGCTTTGAGCTATGGCCTTGAATAATCATTCTCTTAAGTTTGTTTATAGAGCTTTAAGTTGATGCTAGGTCCAGCTGGGCTCTTAAAGGCTTTATTTGTCAGGTAATTTGTATTTTGTACTTTATTAAGCTACATTTCTTGGAAGACGTTGAATTTGTTTTGGCAGCTTTTTACCATTTACCGCCTTTTTATTTGGTGTCACCTTTTTAAACAATATAATTCATGTACTAGTGTTACATTTCACTGTGAAAACAAAATGCTTTGTCCGTATTTCTATTACCTGCCTTCCTTTTCCATGTCTGTTAAGTAAAATATATGTCATCATAGAAGCTAGCATGAAGTTACTGCTGTTTCTGCCCTGAGCTGTGCGCAGTTATACTGTGCTAAACTTGCTAACTTTTCCTGAGATTGGTATATGGCCCACAATACATACTGTATAAACAGACATTTATTTTATTCATTAAAAATTATTACATATATAGAACAAACATAAGGACCCTAATCTGTCCTGATATTCGCCTTCCATAAACTTTACCACAGCAGGACTTGGATCAATTAGGTTTTTCACATCTGAATACAGTAGGATAGTCCAGAGTGAGTATAGGGATGAACCACATCTTAAAATAGCAACAAAGGCACCTTAAAGGAGAACTATGGGGTTAAGTCCTTCCCATAGTTCTCCTTAGGGTAACGGGAGGACACAAACTAGCGTCCTACATCCAGCCGTGACAGGATCGAGAGGTGAGCGAACGCCGATATGTGTTCGCTCACCTCCCGATCTACTGAGCCGACCTGTGACAGTCTCATTGTCACAGGTCGGCTAGAACTATGAGGTGAGTGAAAATCACTCACCTAGTTATCCTTTTAAGGGCTAGTTCACACCAGCCACGGTGTGTTCTTGCCCGATTCTAACCGGACCGCACTGGATCACATTACGGCCGTCTCACTTTGTTTTGTGGCGGTGCATTAAAGTGATTGGCACCGCAGCCACGCCCTTCGGCTGGAATGCGATTGGCTGCAATGGAACGCGTTGGAGATCAATGCCTGCGTTCCCGTGAGGCCGATCGCTTTGTGGCCGGAGCGCATTGCTATGGTGTTCACTTCAATGCACTGCCCGGCCCCGAAAACAAAGTGAGCCGGCCGCACTGCAATCCAGGGCATTCCAGCCAGAATTTGTCCGGAACCCAGTGCGACTGGTGTGAACTAGCCCTTAGAGATGTTTAGTAATGACAATCTACAAACAAATACTTCTAGATAATTGTCGGCTTTTTTTCCTTTGCATACCTTATTTTTCTTTTCTTTCCTAATCTTCTCATATTCGCCATTTTTAACTAAGGACAGGTTACTAGATCTCCCTTTACTTCCTAGTACTCTGGCACATGTGACTAGGACATGTGACCATGCACATCATCTCAGGGGAGGAAAATGCCTTTCTCTGAGATCTCATATTATTACAGATGAGATTTCCCAGCAATGCTCTGCTGATGTAACCTTCCCAGGATGCAATGTTTGGGCACAATTACATTATTTGTGTCAAAGTGGACCAGGTAGTGGAAAAAATATACGTAAAATAAAAATGTTTGTTTAGCTAATGAATTGAAGAGGATTTCATATCGGCATGCAGAGCTGTATGCTGATGTCATTTTTAGTCAAAGAGGGTGAAGGTCCACTTTAAGCAGTGTGTTGCGTCTCCTTCATTGTCCCATTCGCCTATGTTACCTAAAGTAGACCTATAGTCAAAAGCCCCCAGTTACCTTGCTTTCTCTGTTTCTGTAAGAAGCATGATACAGATTGTGTGAATAAAATGCTGCGTGTAGATCTCATCACAGCTAGTCCCATGACCACATTTTGTGGCAAGAAAGGCGTGATCTCTCTGAATTCTGACCGTCTACTTTCTGCGAGACTGTGATGCCACACACCTTCGCTTTTGGTCACATGAGTGAGTGGCTTGTGATCCCGAATCTGTGGTGTCTACAGCCAAAATATTGTACTCCTCTTCCTACAACTATCATTTTTAGGAAGGGGGTGGGGGGCAAAGTAGTATGGAGTTTGCATTGTTTTTGCTGTGGGTCTGCTTTAATCTGTGTTCTCTACAAGACGTGATGAAACAAACCTCTAATATAAAATGTAATTCACCTTGTAGTATAGTATAATCCTTTTAAAGCATCCACAACCAAGCATAGATATTTGGGTGCAGACCTTTTAGGTATTAAGGACTACCCTAAATTTCACTGTAAGCACCTATTATTTTTACACTGCAATGTAAGATTAATAATTGATTTCCCCCCCCCAGTACTGAAACTTAACCTCTAATCCTTAAGATTAACATTTAATCTACCCCAGTACTTGACCCTTAGTCTCGGTTTTATAGTTATCCCCATAATACCTGACCCCTCTACCTTTCTTCCCTTAAAACATAACTGCCTGGTTGTACCTTTTAACCAAGGTAAATTCTGAAGTGAATGTACCAGCTGAACTACGTTACTTAACTTATCAAGCCAATATGTACCTGGTACAGATGTTAAGAGTCTCAATTGGTAACCAGATCATGCAACCCAGAACTTTTCAGCCCTTGAAGTTACATTACCCACATAAGGCTCTTCTTGCAGGGTTTTTTTTTTGGTGCATTGCATGGTGCTTTGTATTTTTTAGGTGCATTTTACTTGCATGACCATCACTGTTTTGGTGGAGACCGTACCATAGATGCAGCAATGAGGACTTATTCCAACACTGTGCACCTGCAATGTGCTTAAAATGCACCAGATTGAATTGAGGTTAAACACACACACTATGCTTTCATGAAGGCAAAAATTGTTTGCAATCTAGATTCATGCACTTTTCTTTTGTTTTTTCGGTTTGTGTTGTGTTTATAACTAGAAATATAAGCAAATTTTATAGTGGTACATTTAGCTTTCAGTGTTGGGAGCTCACTGTTGCTAGTTTTTGCAAGAACGAATGATTCGCAGGCCCTTCACTCTAACCTTCCCTGAAACTCTAATAACAACCTTAATGCTAAGCCATACTAACATAAATGTAACTCTTCTGTGCTAGGATTCTCTGTATGGAAAACCCTACCTGTGCCAGGATCCTGGCTGCGGAATCTAGAGTTTTTATTATACCGAGAGTCTGTAGGGTATTGAGTAATACTGCAGACAGAGCTACAGCAGGTGTTGGCATATCAAATATGTAGTAAAAATAGCTGGGGTTGTCATTTGGAAATTATGACGTTGATATAGCTTTCTTGCAAAATGTTTTGAAAAAATGTTCACTATAGTTTACTGTCCCATGTGTAGGATACTGACATTTTGTTTTAATTCTTTCAGAGGAGAAAATACAACTGCCAAAGAAGGAAAAAGCCAAGCAAAGACGGGAACAGTGGTTGCAAAGTGAGTTTATGTAATTTTAGAACAGAAGTCAAAAATCAAACATATCCAATGATAAATACCTTGATATTGGCATGGCATGATGACTTTCTATATTACAATTTGTTGGAGTATTGATGACTAACAGAATATTATGTGCCGGTGGGCTTCATGCAACAGTTACAAAATATTTTTGCCAGTCAAGATAAGCCTGTCCCACATCAGTTTCTGTTCAAAGACCATTCTACCTCAAGAAAAAAATGCATTGTGAATATTGTCTTTAAGATTGTGATGGAAATGCTACTAAAGTGTACACACGTGTGTGTCAAGTATCTCAGTATCTGTACAGAATTCGAGAATGTTAGCATTTATTTAACTTTATTTGTAACCTACTGTTTCTAGGTGAGCCAAAAATGACAAGTTATAGTTTTCTTATTGTGATTACTAAACGGGTATCCTCAGTATAGCACATTGGGTTTTTTGTACCCCCCCCAAAAAAAGTTTATGAACATTTGTTTGGGTATAGTAGTTTTGTTTTTTTAATCACTGTTTACTTAAACACATGCCTCCATTCAGAAATTCAGAAAGCATAATTCTCTTTAAACATTTATAGGTCAGTCTCCAGTTATTTGTTTTCTAGCGGAGTATTGAAGGGTTTCCAGTTTAAGTACAGTTAGTCCTTGCACTATAAGGACCGGTTCACACCAGCTCTGGTGTGTTCCAGCACGATTCCCTGCTGTAACGCACTGGCGCGCATCCCGACCGGCTTCCTGCATTCAGGGGCGGCAGGGGGTGTGGTGGTGCATTAAAGTGCATAATTGTAGCTTTGTCACCAGCACACCAGTCCTTTTAAGATGGCAAAAGCTTCTTTATTGAAGTTTTTTGTCATATGACCAAACAAGCGCTTTCGGGACCGCACAGGGTCCCTTCATCAGGCTTTAGCCACCAGCACACCAGGATTGGTGTGCTGGTGACATTTCTACAATTTTGCTGACATTTGCGGCACCATCCGCAGTCACTGCGAGCACCCCCTACTACAAGGGACATATCGGTAAGGAGTGCGACAAGGATAGTACTTATTGCATTAAAGTGCATGTCACAGCAGCCATCGCCTCCATCGGAACCAGTGGCACATCAGTGCCTGCATTTCCGGTCCAGTGCGATCTGAAAAAATGCTGCAATTTTTGCTGTGGTGAAGTCAATGGCACCACAGCCACGCCCCCTCCCGCCCCTGAACGCAGGAAGTCAGCCGGGATGCGCTCCGCTGCTTTCCAGCAGTGAATCGTGCTGGAACGCACCGGAGCTGGTGTGAACAGTCAGGTGTAAAATGCTGTGATTTTTAAATAATTACACTTGAATTTTCAAATCCTAACTGAACAAATGTTCAGAAAAGAGAGAAGCTGATTGGTTGCCATAGACAACTGCTCCAGTTGAATATAAACTAAAGTTTGGCTGCCTGACAGGGATTCCTTAGCACAGTTTATTGTCACAAAGCAATCAGTGGAAACAAATGTACCTTCAGCACAATTTTTTGCACAGAATCCCACTCTTTTTAATTTTGTTTTTATATATTTGCACCATTAATCTAGTCTTGCAGGTGCCTGTAAGGAGTTTTACATAATCAAAAGCATATCCTGCCCATTCCTGCTGATTACCAAGTTACATAGATGGGTTCATAGGGTGCTGGGTTTAGGAACGGGAAGACCTGCTTTGTGATCGACTACATCGCCACTAATTCTTAAAACAATGCACCGTGCTGAACCTCTCTTAAGGTGCCCATACACCTTACAATTATCTGCAGACTTTCTATGGTCAGATGTAAAAAGTGCAACAGATTCCTCCATCTACGCTAACCTGTGTGGATGGAGGAATCTCCCACTGGGCCAAGCTTCAGTATCTTGCTGGTCGGTCCCACTGGCTGTCAAAATACCTGAACAATCTGATTGGATGCAAGCATTGTTCAGGTGTTTTGAGCGCCAACGGGGCCAACCAGCAAGATTACGGAAGCTTGGCACAGGTGGAGATTACTCCATCCACACAGTTTATCGTAGATGGAGGAATCTGTTGCACCTTTTCCATCTGACCATCGAAAATCTGCAGATAATTGTAAGGTGCATGGCCAGCTTTAACAATATATCAAACAAAAAGTGTATCTAAATACTGAAGACAAATATACCCCTATGAGAAAGGTCATATACTTTGTAAACTTAATAAAATCAAACTCCAATAAATATTTTGAATCCAAGGTGATAAAGTTCACAGTGTAAATCTCTTATGAGACTCTCATAAGTGTCCAATAAAACAGTGCATAAGTGTTCATACGCATCATTATCAAACAGTGCTCAAATGCAGATTAATGTTCATATAAATCTGTATGATATACTGCTAATATTGCTAAATGTGATAGACCACTAATATTGCAGCTCCTTGACAGTCGCACAACACTGTGGAATGGATGGAGTAGTGGGACCAGACAAAAGAGCAGCTGCCGAATGACTACTCTTAACTGCTGCATCATTCACCACTGACTTTTCTCTTCTTGCTTGAAGAACAAGTTTGTCTGCGTAGAAGATCACTTTAAAAGTGCTCATTAGATATAAAGACCTTCACATCTGAAAATCACTACAATCCACGGCAAGCAAAGCTGCAATTATGTGCCTGTTTATAAATGCAGTGATGTGTGTGAAGCAAAGTAACTAGTGGTAAAACTGCACTATTTGATTAAGAAGTACGCTTTGTTTGTATATAAATAGGTTCTTGGGTATTGGGGAATTGATTTGCCTTTGTAAAACTGCACCAGTGGAGAACCAGCTCAAAAACATTCCAGCACACAGCACGCCTAGCTCATGAGCCGTGTGACAGTTGCAATCTATTGCGTTTTAGCTTTTGCTGTACCTAAGTTGTTTTCGAAGATTCGGTTTTCTAGTAGCACAAGTTCTGGATTTTGAAGAGAACAAATGAAAAAGCATATTTAAATATTTAGGCTTTTTTTTTTTCCCTTCCTGCCATCACATGTGCCTCAAGTTATTAATTCTCTAATAAATGTTCCATGAGCTCAGCTTCGGGCGTGGATAAGTGTGTATTATTCATGATGTTGACATAGTAAGACAATAAATCATCCCATTTTATAATTGGTGGGAAGATGGTGTATGTACATGAGGATTTTACTGTTCATATTGGTATTGCTGGTTATTGTGCTGTCAGTGCAGAGCTTAACTGTCCATTGTAATGCAAGTATGGGCTGTGCAGGAATGTGTGCTATTCCAGTGAGCGAATTCTGCTCTGACAAATGTAAATAACTGCTTTAAGGATTATACTCACTATATAGCACTTTAAAAGAACATTTGTTTCAACTAGTTGTCTTGGGCCTGTCGGGTACTATCGTGGTTGCACTTGGTCTATCTAATACACTGAGTTCACAGGGATTTTGCTGCATAAACATTAGTACTCCATTGGGCTTAATACATTTTTGTCACATAGGCAGATATGGGCTGGTATGTATTATATGCCAGAATTGCTTTACTCTCTGCCAGCTATTGTTGACTGGGCCCTGTTTCAGGATCTTTATAGGGCTCACTGTCCTTCCAAGTTCTATCTCAATGACAGTTTTACATTTGTAGATTTATGGAATTCTAAAACAATGACTTGCTCTGTACCCGCAATTTGCATTCATCGGTCTGCCACTTGCAGTCTATCTTTCCGCACTTTAAGGCAGAACTCCAGACAAAAATAACAAGATGCAAATAAATAGCCCATTAAAAAAAAAAATCACAAAGATTTTGCTGCTGTATTCACCTTGCAGTACCATTTTTTTTTTTTTTTTTTTTTTCTTTTCCTTCTGCCCCTAGATGTCTTCAGGCTGTTAGGCAGCATGATTTGAACCCACATCCTCTTAGCCAAGGTCATGCTGTGTCGCCCCAGCATGTGACTGCTGGACAGTGAATAGAGAAGCAGCACAGTGATGAGTGCCATGAGGGATATGAGAGTTGGGACTCTCATATCCCCAAATGATGAACAAACTTAAAGGAGAACTATGAGGTGAGTGAAAATCACTCTTCATAGTTTGAGCCAACCTGTGACAATGAAACTGTCACACGTCGGCTCAATAGATCGGGAAGTGAGTGAACACATACCGTTGCTCGCTCACTTCTCGATCATCTCCCTGCAGAGAGCCGTGACTGTCAGTCACGGCTCCCTGCAGGGATCCCCCCCCCTCTGATCCTCCAGCGCTGACTGGAGGAACGGACCGGGGAGGGGGCGGGTACAGCTGCCACTCGCACAGCTGGGTGGATCTCAACAGTATTGTCGGGATCCGTCCCGGCTGCGGCGGTCTCCGTATACCGCGAGCAGTAGCTCACGATATACTGAGCTTTGGGTTACGGGAGAAGGTTAGTACATGTCCTCCTGTGACCCTTAGGAGAACTATAGGGAAAAACAGTTAACCCATAGTTCTCCTTTTAATGTTTTTCCCGCAAATGGGATTTCATTTAGTTTTGGATAAAGTCGTTAATATTTAAAAGCGGTATATTTTTTAATGGCCACCCAGACAACTAGAAAGGATGAATTCTTACCGCGTGGGCACAGCCAGCATTTTAGAACACTTTTATTCTATTTAACTTGAAAAAAAGTTTTGGAAACTATACTTTTTAGTGTTTAAGTTGGAGAACAATGTTTATTAATATTATCTGCCGTCTTCTTTTCAACAATACGGTGATATCCATATATGCTGAGCTAGAAATCATTTTTTTCCCATTACATATTTTAAGGCTTGTGACCATAATACTGTTGTGTTACTGTTTTTTTTCCAGTTTTTTTTATTAACCCGTTTCTTTTTTTCTTTAGATGTTAACAGTTTTAGCACAGTGTCCTCCACTTTCACAGGCCTTTGTCATGCAGCTTTAGAATCTGTGTTAGTTCATGTCTGTTATTCACCATCTGTCCTATCTGCTTGCAGTGGTATGCGGCAGCAGATGTGAAGATATTTATTGCAGGTATTCTCCAGTCATATATGAAAATTGCTCATTGAAACAGGCAGGGGACATAGGCTGTCTACATTTTCTCTTCTTGCTTTCCTCCTGGTGTATTTCTTCTTTGTGCTTGGTGGCCCAGTTTTTTTATATGAATGCTGATTGCTTGGTGCCATGTCTGCTAGTGCTTCCCTGGTTGTCGATAAATCACACCGGGAGTTCCCTAATTCTTATCTAAAATATAGGGACACCATGTATCTTCTATCTGAACGGTATATATAGGTAGCCAAATTGTTAAGCAAATTTCTGCTTTTCTTACAAGATTTGGTTTTGACCCCACACCCTCTTGGCTCTCAACCCCCCCTATTGATCAGTGATGCCACCCATGACATTAAAGTACTTAAATGGCTAAAGTGTGCCAGAAGGGACGTGGCAGAATTTGACATTTTACAAGGAAAGTTAAGATTTTATTGTAACTTCCAATGTTTTTTTATTAATATATCTAGTGATTTTTACTTATTTATTTTTTGTCACATTAATTTTTCATGTAGCACAGTGTCCTCCACACCAACACTTTATTGCAACGTATGGTAATACAGCAAGCCCAGTGCAATGTCTTACTGTGCAATTCATTTTGATATTAAAAGACCAACAGAGATTTTTCCTAGGTTGGAAGCCATTTTATATTTAATGGTCTTTGGTAACATAGCACACCACAACCCATAATAAAACATATGTTGCGGCATATGTGTTACTAAAACACAGCCTGTTGTGAATAGCCCCTAACAGCAGCAATTCACTTATTATAGTCTGAAATGACCAGGTTTATAACTAGGGCTGCAGCTAACGATTATTTTCATAATCGATTAGTTAGCCGATTATTAAGTTCGATTAATCGGAATAACCAATTTAGTTTATCAATTGTATTGCAATTTTATAACATGCTCATGATTTCTCTTTATGATGATAACATTATAACACTCTGTTATTGTGTTGAATGTTAGAAAGATTGCTGTATTAGCCTATTAACGGACATCAGAAGATTTATTGCTAGATAAGTTTACCAGAAGTTCACAGATTTTTGTATGAAAAATGTCCTTTTTTTCCCCCTTGGATATGAAATAGTAGAAGCAGAGCTTCAAACATTTATTTTGTAAAGTTGACAAGATAGAGCCAAAGATCCTACTAAGCTGCAGAAAGGCTTCATTTTTAACATTGTGCTTGTTTTAAAGTTGCCCAGTCCAGCGTCAGAGACCACGTAAGCATACACATTAACTCAAATTGTGGAAGCGAGCCATGGCAGCTGTTTTACACACATCGATGGCGGGATGGATAATTTACTATGTGTCAGCACCATGTTTCTTCTGCACCTCAACATCTGTCTTCAATTGGTCTTAGTGCCTGGCTTTCCTCCACTTCATTTCAGCGGACTGTTCTCCAATAAACTATGAAAACTTTTTTTTTGAGTAGTTAACCATTGTACAAGTTTACCCTTTAAATACAACCATATTCTATGTAAGAACAGGTGAAACATGGGGCCGGATATGTATCTGGTCTAATGCTTTATTTCATTTCTGGAACAGCTGGACCCATCCCCAAAAGTCTTCCCAAGTTATATTTATGAATGTGTGCACAGTAAAAGGATTTCCCTGAATTTTCCTTGTGGAAATTGGGGGGTGAAGAAGCACACACTCGGGGCATTTAAACCATGCCTTTTATCAAGTTCAGTTTTGCACAGCTGGAAACTTGACAAAATTGCTCCCCCACACTCTACAATCAGAGAGCCTGTCCTGTGTTTTAGGTGCCATGTGTCGGTGCCTAATGCAATTTTATATTCATTCAACAACCTGTTTTACACTCCAGTGCATGTAAAGTGCGTGTATAGGCACCAAATAAATTACTTAGCAAATATGTGCAATACATTCATATTTTACAATGTTTCATCCCTTCAAAAAACCTGCAAGTACAAAAAGACAACTGTTGATCTGTCAGAAATTCAGTGTTATTCTAATTTCATGTTTGAACTGGCAACATAGTGCCTCTGCTACACTGAAATTCCAGGCAGTGTGGTCTGCCCTGCTCAGTTATTCTTTCTGGGCTACACAACACCCCTTTCTCATCTGCATAGCCTAAAGGGAGGTGTTCTGTAGTCCAGAAGGGAGAATTGGGCATGGCTGTTAACGCCGGTTAGGATTTCAGTGCAGCAAAGAATTATCAGTCCACTACAAGTTAGAAGCTTGGTGGATTTCTACCAGGTTCAAAAGTTATTTTTCAGTGTTTACAGTACTCCTAAAGAAAAAACAAAACCTGGGGAAATATGCATGTATTGCAGAGATGTACTGAATTTTTTATTTTTTTTTGCCCAGACATTAAGCCCCAATCCCTTCTTTGCGACTACACTTGGGGTCGGTTCACACAATTAACAGTGCATTCCAGAGAGGTCAGCCTCTGGAATGCACTATCGCATTACAGCCGGCTTTCTGCGTTCAGGGGCAGGAGGGGGCATGTCGGTGCATTGACGTCCACGGCACCGCAGCCAAGCCCCCTGCCCATATTAGAATGTGTGGCACGCATGCCTGCATTCCGGTCCACTGCAATCTGCAAAAATGTTGCAAGCACTATTTTTGCAGACCGCACTGGACCGGATTACATCCACTGATGTGCCACAGGCTCTGGTGCGGGCGATCGCACGGGGGGGTGGGGGCGTCCACGCGGCCCAGTTCCTGAACGCAGAAAGCCGGCCGGAATTCGATACAGGCTGACCGTTCTGGGAATGCACTGTTTATGGTGCGACCCGGCCCTAAAGGTGCACAGCATAGGTAAAGCAACAGGAATCCTAGCACAAAACAAGAAAACACACACAAAAAAATTAAAAGTTTGCTTCCTGCTACGTTTCGTGCTACTTTTCCTTTTATACTGGCTTTTCAAAATGACAAATTAAATATAGAAGTTCAATGAAAGGTTTAGACTAGTATAGCAGTTTTGGTAGTTAAATAGTTTAGTTAAATAGTGGTCTATACAGCACACCAAAAAGAGAGACAACAGAGAAGGAAGAGAGACATGGAGAGGCTGTCCTTTTTGGAATCAAATCCCACTGAGGGACTATTGGAAGCTATGCATTTCCCCCATTGATTTCATGGTGGTGTGTGGTACTGTGCGCTGTTATGTTTCCAGTGTCCACTCGGATTATACGTTGCCCCTAGTGTGATGATCTGTTGCCGGGAGACTAATGCCAGTGACCATTATGTATGCATGCCAACATTTAGATTTGAGCAGATGAGCACAGTGATGAACAATACATGTAGTAAGTTTGTAAAGGAGACCAAAGAAAAAAATCTCAATAAAAGTTCTTATGTCTGAGAAGGGGTCAAAGGTAATGGTTGTTAGCTGAAAGTGTTGTACACAGAATCCTGTCACCTTACCTAAGGCACTCGTATGTCAACAAAGAGAACTTGCAATAGAGATTGTCTTGTTATGAGTGAATAACACGTTACTCTGCCATCTTAGGGAGGCTTCCGTGTTAGACTTTTACATTACATTGTTTCAGTTTCTACTTTTGGGTCTGCATTAAAATATTACCAGCTTCTGATAGGCACTGCTAAATTTTATGAGGTGCCTGTTCAGCAAGGACGTAAATGGAGCCGTTTGTCATAGATAAAATATTGAATCATGAGAAAAATATGCGTTCAGTTGGTAAATAACTATTTATTGCAAATAATTGCACCCCTTGCAATATTTAGGCATGTTTTGTTGAGAACATTTTTGTTTGTATAAAAAAAAATGAACCCAGGTAACACAACATACAACTTGTTGAGCTGAAGCCAATGCAAGGAGACCTGGAGAAAATACTTTCCAGTTCTATATGGATGCACTGAAAACTACAAGTCAAGTCAAGTTTTGGCCTGTTGTTGTCAACAAATGCATGCGAATAAGCTACTAACTAGGCTATGCATTCTGCAATTTTAAAGCGATTTCAACTGGCAATTTTTGAAGAACTCCGGGCCATTCAAAAATTAACCCTTACAGTGGGACTACACCCACACTGCAAGGGTTAAGTGCTTGTTGTGTTCTTGGGTCTAATGTACTTGTTGCTACCGCAGTGGCTCACCTCTCTCCCCCTCCACTCTAGTCCACTCTAGCTGCAGAATGTCCCTTGGCGTCCTCAAGTATAATACAAGTGTCTGCATTTTTGTATCACACGGTATGATGTCAGCGGGGCTTAGACCACAGGAGCCCAGGGGAGAAGAGGCTGCAGGGAACGGTCCAGCAGCCGTTTATCTTATTTTTTTATTTTAGACCAAAACATGCACTTAAGCCCACTGCAAGGGTTAATTTTAGCTGCCCAGAGTTTTGTTAAAAAATAAACAAACTAATAAAGACAACATACTCTCAACTATTGCATTCTAACCCATCATAATTGTGGGTGGTAAGTTGAACCATCAGTCTTCTTTCAGCAAGCATGATCTGATAACAGATTTTTGTTTGTTATAACATTTTGCATGCTTTAGCATCTGCAATTTGAAATCAAATAGTAATCTTCATTGTCTTATTTTAAATTCTCTTCATTCTAGAAATCGAGGCATTGAAACTGGCCCAGCAGGCTAAAAAGGCTCAGGCGAAGAGAAAAGCTACACCTGTAGTTGGAGATATGCAGCCACTTGTGGACGCCCTGCCAGAGCTCTCTGAACTCACAACTGCTCGTAAGCCAAAGGCACCAAGGAAGCAGCCAAAAGAGTAAGTACCAAGGAATGAAATGCTGCTCGGCAATCAGAACCATAGCTTTTACTGGAGACTCTACAATTACCTTTTTAAAGTACATGTGAACCCAATCATTCATTCAAAATCATTTTCAGTATTTTTAAATCTGTAGCTTCAAATGCAACTGAAGCCAAAAACAAAATAAGGATCGCCACTAGGTTAACTAAATCAACTAGCTTGGCAGCTTACAAGTACTTCATGAGCATTGTTTTAGCATTTGTAAAGGTTTCTGGAGAAGCTTTGTATAAGCTCATGTTTGCAGGGGCATTGATGAGCGCAGAGGTTTTACAGAAATGTATGTAGTGAAGGATGCAGTGGAGCGAAGAGTTGTTGTTGTTGTTGTTATTATTATTATACAGGATTTATATAGCGCCAATAGTTTGCACAGCGCTTTACAATATAAGGAAGACATTACAGTCACAATACAATTCAAGATGGTAAGGAGGGCCCTGCCGGTGAGTTACTTATATTATAAACCATGGGACAACAAAGCAAAACAAAACTAAACCAGAGAGTGTCAGATTATGCTTTTTGGTTACAAAAGGAGGCAATAGAAGGCATTTTGTGGTATAGGCAGGACTTGAAATTCTGAGTGGAATTCAAGTGCGGTGACACCACACTTGTAGTCCATTCATTCTTCCTCCGGTCCCTGTTAGTATCCGTACCTCAGACATTTTCTTTTATGAAAAAGTGTGCGTTTATTTTTTCTAAAAATTTGACTTTACCTTTAAATAGGCCACTGTAAGTTTCACGCATTTTCTTGAGTAAAATAATTGACTGTAAGATCATTTTGACCAAATGTTAAGCACATGTTAGTCTAAACAAATGACAAATATGCCAACTATGCAGCTTTGATCTTCATTTTACTTGAGGTATGTGAAAATCGCTTCTGCCAACAAATGATAGATAAACGTTTAAGTTGGCAATGGATGTTAATTGGTCCCAGTACTTTTTATTTCGGTTACCTGGTCAAGACCTCGCTCCCACAGACAGGTAGGTACACCTATTTTGTGGTGATTGTCTTTCTCTGCTTTCTGTTTACTTACAAGATGGTCTGAGCAGAGTGGGTCACAGACACCAGTTCTCAAGAGACAACCCGTTTTCAAATGTACCTGTTTCAAGAGACAATGTTACAACAAGCAATCGAAGTTTGCAGACCAGAGAAGAAACCTTTTAAAATGCATAGAGAATGTCAGCACAGGTTGGTGGTAACGAAAAAGCTTATTAAGGGCTGCAACAACGAATCAATTTATTCAATAACTTTTGACAACGATTTTCATTATTGATTCTGTGATTAGTTGCTGCTGCCGCCTCTCTGCTCCGCTGTTCTCACCTCCTCTCTGGGAGCCACTAAATGCAGCAGTTTGTGTCCCCTTCCCGCCTGTATCAGCGCCTTTCAGCCGCTGTGCCTCTACACTGCCCATGCCTCAGTCACGCTCCCCCCGTGCCCGTGCTGCCTCGGTCGCACGCCCCCTTGTGCCCGCGCTGCCTTTGGGTCGTTTCCTCCTACCCCCCCCTATGTCCAGTGTGTGTCAGGGGAGGACCTGAAGGAGAACTTTTGCCTCAGTTCCTTTCTCTGCTGATTGAGAGCAGGCAGTGGGTGGGTGTAATAGCCAGCCTGTTATTGCTACTTGAAATAGCCAATTGCTCCCAGCCACTGCATGCTGTGTTTGCATTCAGCTGTCATTCCCCAGTGAAGTAGAAAGGTGACTAAAAGACCCCTAATGTCACTTTAAAGAAAACCTGTCACCTCCAATGTGCTATCACATAGGGGGCTTGTAAAAAAAAAATTGTTAAATAAAATTGTAAATACCAAAAATAACATTTAAAGGAGAACTATGGGGTCAGGGCTTTTCCCCATAGTTCTCCTTAGGGTAACGGGAGGACACAAACCAGCGTCACCCTAAGCTCAGTATACCGCGAGCTACAGCTCGCAGTATACCCAGACGCCGGAGCGGATCCCGACATCGATGTCGAGATCCGCCCAGCTGCGTGAGTGACAGCTGGCTCTGCCTATCTAGAGGCAGAGCCAGCTGTACCCGCCCCCTCCCCCATCTGTTCCGCCAGTCAGCGCTGGTGGATCGGAGGGGGGAATCTAGCCCCTCCCCTGTCACGGCAGAGAGCCGTGACAGGATCAAGAAGTGAGCGAACACCGGTATGTGTTCGCTCACCTCCCGATCTACTGAGCCGACCTGTGACAGTCTCATTGTCACAGGTCGGCTAGAACTATGTGGTGAGTGAAAAGCACTCACCTCATAGTTCTCCTTTTAAGTCACAGAGCAGTAGATGGATCCAGCTAGAGACTTTTGTCTGACTGCAGAACTGATAGCATTAAGTAGCCTTTCCAAGGGTGCGGTGACATGGCTGTGTGCAGTGCGTTTTATGTTATTTGAAAGGCAATAGTTTCCAGATGCTATAGTGGAAGCCGTTTCTGTTCTATTTCTGCTGATACCTGGATCCTTCTTCTAGTTTCCTACTAAACCATTTTATGATGTGTCTGTATCTGGATGATTGATTTTCAGAATTTTTGGCTGAAACGCCTGAACCACTATGGCTGTTAAACTGTTTGAGATGTGCAGCAATACTGTATAGTCCTGGAAAAAGTTTGTGGGCTGTTGGAGATGCTTCTCGGTTTTGAAAGAAATCAAAATATTTGTTTCCTCTATTGTTTTGGGGCATTTCCATTGGTTCATAACCTCTAAGCCATAAGCCTGTTATATTTTATAAGCATCATGCTGATGCACCAGGGATGTGGAAATTAAAACAAAAACTACTTGTCCAAGGACTAAAGTGGGGACCCGATCTATTTGTCCCTCATGACAAACTACTTGTCCTGATACAAAAAATATTTTAACCAATTTTATCCTGAAGTCATTTTCCTTGGTCCAAGTACCCCAGAAGAGTGGGGAACCTCAAAAACCATGATGGGGAGGGGTGGCAGGGAGGACGGACAAGAAGGCTGCTATAAGTGATCTGGTCAAAACGAGAAGTGGCTCCCCTACTCTACATTTAGCCCTGCTTGCCTGCAGTGGGGGTAAATGTAGATTTAAAAAACACCTGCCCAGCGCATGTCCCAGATGTTGGGTGATATGAATCAGGCACCTAGGCATTATGGGAAAGGTCATTTATATTGCATTTATGCTATCTGATCCACTTGTGAATCTTGCTGTCCTGTCATACAGGCTACAGCGATGTTTTTCACCCTAATGTGTCATGACTATCTCAATTACTACTTTACATGAAAATGACTGACTTCCGGACCCTTTTGGTAGAGCTATTTAGAAGAATGTGGCCACAGTTAGGCCTCTGCTCAAATACACTCATTGAGAGAAGTTTGTGTAGTGATGAGCGCACTATACAGTGGAAATACGAGAGATGACAGCCTCAGGATGACTAGATCCATGCCTATAGTGTGCAACTCTCATACAAAATTTATTTTCCTGTAAGTACAACAGTCGGCCGAGATAGCGGCTATTCTGAACTGGTTTTTGTTACGTGACAACCTAGGCAGTAGAATACCACTCAGGAGTTGCACTCACCTGGGAGTAAGGGAAAAAGAACACAAAGGAGTGACCATCCACTGATTGTGTAAATCTCTAAAATTCTTTAATCAATTGTTTAAAAAATTGCACTTCGCTTTGTGATAATAAAAAAATCCAAGGTGGTGATCAGGTGTGGAAAACCACAAGTCCTCTGGCCCTGTCTTGTTATCCTGGAACGTCCATAGACCGGTGTACCTATGTGTGCAGCAGCAGAATGTCTCTGTGTGGACTGGCCGTTAAGCAAAGAGGCAGTGGAGCTGTGGCTGGGCAGCGGTGTCTTCTCTGTACAGTACCCGGGCTGGAAGAGGGGCAAACTGGGAGCAAAGGCCCAGGGGTAGGAGTGTGAGTGCGGGAAAGGTAGTGGCAGTGCGTTTCGAGGTGCACAACCTCTTTCTCAAGCCAGGAAAGGATAGGGCATCTCAGCCAATTGTGACAACTTGTTTTCCTGTGCATTCAACATAGTTACTTCTATGTTTTGCCCTGGTGTAACAAAATTTATTCCAGACTATTGATGTATACTTTGATATTTTTTTCAGCAAAAGCTACTGCTGCCTTGACTCTCAAGAGCCTTCCCACACATTGCCTGTAGAAAAAAGGGCTCTTGGGAGATGTAGTCCTGGGGGTTACATAGTTACATAGTATTTGGGGTTGAATAAAGACATACGTCCATCAAGTCCAACCCATATAGGTCCACGCATCATCTCATTCTTAGGGACACTGGTATCCCTGGATATTACGGTCCCTCAAGAAATTGTCCAAACGTTTCTTGAACAAATCTACACTCTTAGCTGAAATCACTGCCGATGGCAGCGAGTTCCAGACCTTAACCTCTCTTACTGTAAAGAACCCTCTTCGCCCATTGTGCTGGAATTTTTTCTCCACCAACTTTAGGTGGTGGCCTCTAGTCTTTGTAATGGGAGTTAATCTCAAACAGTTTGTTGCCAATGTTGCTGTTACCATTGAACATCTTGTACATGAAAATCATATCCCCCCTTAATCTCCTTAATTCCAGCATAAACATGTTTAAGTTCAGAAGCCTTAAGTTCTCATAGCTCTGGTCCTCCATTGCCCTAATTAGTTTTGTTGCCCTCCGCTGGACTCTCTCCAGTTCAAGGACATCCCTTCTCAGTAACGGCGACCAAAACTGGACCGCGTACTCCAGATGAGGTCGAACCAATGATCTATAAAGTGGCAAAATTATAGACTTGTCCCTGCAATACATCCCCTTCTTAATACAGGACAACTTGGTCTTTCCTGAACCCATGCTGATTGTCTATGCCCTTATCCTTAACAAATTTTACCAAATAGTCCTTAATTATACCTTCTAACAGTTTACAAACTACCGATGTTAGACTGACCGGCCTATAGTTCCCTGGTTGGCATGTAGCCCCCTTTTTGAATATTGGAACTACCGTAGCCCTCCGCAAATCACAT